CCTCATACAGCTGTGGGCACACCTCAAAAGTGGTAAAAAATATCGTTCTTCATGGATTTTTTATCAAGAGTTTGACAACACTTTCTACATGTTGATGTATCAATTATTATCAATGAGCCGTGACATTTGATTGGCTTAAATTGATCCACCTAAAATGCGGAACACGGACTTAAGCATCTTCGCTAGCCAAGGGTTTCCGATCCGAAATCTACTCTACAACCCTTGGCAGATTTAGTCCTATCAAACGAGAACTTTAATTGCGCCACCTATCGCCGTAATTGAGTTAAGTCCCTTGAATCTCTTTAATATTTGTCCAATGAAAATCGCTGTAACATACGTAAATCAATATGACGTTTGAAACAATATGGCGACCTCCATGCAATTTGATGTGGAATATAACCCAACAACCTCATACAGCTGTGGGCACACCTCAAAAGTGGTAAAAAATATCGTTCTTCATGGATTTTTTATCAAGAGTTTGACAACACTTTCTACATGTTGATGTATCAATTATTATCAATGAGCCGTGACATTTGATTGGCTTAAATTGATCCACCTAAAATGCGGAACACGGACTTAAGTGGTCCATTAAATAATCCTTGAAAACATATATAATCAAAAGAAAAAAATTCAAATAAATTACTCCCTTGTTTTTCTTAGCATACATCACGTCCTAACTATCATCCCTTGTAAATAATACTCTTCTTTTGTATAACACACTAACAGACTTTAATTCAGCCGAAAATCGTCGATTAGTGAAAACCGTGCGTAGACTGGGACTTCGCAGCCAATCAAATTCGTTTGCGCGAGTTCTAAAATTTTCAGCCAAATCCGCCAAGGGTTGTAGAGTAGGTATCGGATCGGAAACCCTTGGCTAGCGAAGATGATCATATACAAGGGGTAATCAAAAAGTTCACAAACTAATTGAATAACTTCCATAAAAGAAATGATATAGGGTTTCAGTGTTGATTTTTTTTTTAAAGTAGTCCTCTCCAATTTTACCAGGCATCTGCAACCATTCTGCCCATGCGCGTATCAAGTGATCTAGTCGGTCATGTGACAAACTCCATAGCGTTCTAAAAGATTTTTCTGACTCTTAATATGTCTTAACATGCTAGTTATTTTTAATAACAAAAACAGTCATTCTGTCAGAAATGGCCAATCTCGACACAGTATGGCATTGGGTGGATAAGAAAATCCTTTTCCAGAATGAGCATGGTGGCCGTCATAACCCCGAATCCTCTGTCTTTGGAGCAACGTTTATTAGTCCCCTACCGGTGAAACCGGAGGGGACTATAGGTTTTCTCTGAGTCTGTCTGTCCGTCTGTCTTACCCACTTGGTTTTCTAAACGCTTACCAGATATTGAGCTGATTTTTGGTATGTGAGTTTATCTTGATGAGTTACAGATCAAGTTTTAATTTCATTAAATTAAATTTAATTTAATGAAATTAAAACTTGATCTGTAAATTTGCTTATGCAATACTCTCAGAATGCTTGTTCAATATGGATAAAGTATGGGTGCCTCCTTTTTATCATATCTGATATTTTAAAGTCTAAAGTAAATGATATTTTAGGGATTTAATAATGAAGTTATTGTTAAGATATTCAATACATCTCTTCCCCAGCTTGATTTCACCGGACAACATAACAAGCATCATTTTTAAATATCTCCCCTTCCTTCTCTAGAACAATGAATCCAATTAATGACTAAATTTCTGGTAATTCTTTTGTCTTCACGTGTACAAATTATTATATACTAGATTATATTAGATAATGCTTGCCAAATTTCATTCTGATCTGAATTGTAGTTTTGTAATTATAGAGATAGTTCGGGAACTTTTTGATCACCCCTCGTAAACATAATGTATAGTCATATTAATAAGTAAATTCTGAAATTAACAGATGGTAGTAAACACCAAATTTACATGACAACTTATCCTTGTTTTTAAAAGCATTTACAGCAAAATTTATCCAATCCTGATGTTGAAAGTATTCCGAAATCTTGTCTAAATAAATTGGATGTAGTCCCTCTCACTAACTTTGTTTAAATTGTTTACTAATCCAGAATTTTGTCTAATCCACCAATTTCATTGGTGGATGGACTAGGACAAGTATTTAAAAAAAATTGTGCTATTTTTAGTATCACTACAAGTGACTTCTTTCCTTTCTTTCAAAAAAAAAAGGGGGGGCTGAATTAACCTGATCCTACTCTGAAAAAGGATCTGAAAGTTGAAGAGTTTGTTTTACTTAATATAAGACATATGAATTATTTAACACTACAGAGTACGAGATTGTCTTTGCTTGTAGATGGAAGTTACAAATGAAAAGTGCAAAGAATCAGACTAGTAGAGTAAGTAGACTTGTTTTCACTCTTTAAGACAGAACTGTCTTTTTCCCAAACATTTGCAATGTTCATATTATATGTAATCAATATGAACATAAATTATGAATTAAATATGTATTAATCTTTTCTACTTTAATGATTTACTTTTATCACAGTTTTTCTACTTTATTTATTATATGATATTATATTCATTGATCATTTCTTTTGCATTACATAATCAGGAATCATAAGAAATTTTTAATATTTATTTTTTAGCATTATCAAAGCCTTTAGGTGTTGTTTTATTTTCCAAGAAAATAGTAGCAAAACTTTCCATTAAAGCATGCTTGCATCAGAAGTTAAGTATTATGGATTTGTGTAAAAATTTGGTTTACTTAGAATGAATACTAAGTTATCTTTAACTAATGTAATCTGTAATGATTTGGTTTTATTCACTGTAAATTTTAAGTTGTAAATCTGAACTTTCTGCACTGACTTCATTAGAGAAGAAATTATATGAAATGTTCCCAAACTTACTGAAATAGAGTCAAACTTTGTTATTTCAAACTCAACTGGACTGTGAAGAACTTCAAGATATATGTACCTAAGGATTCAGCATACAGATTTGGGACTTCCAAATCACAGTGACACTTCGGTATGGTATTTGAGAAATCAGTTTGAGATACTAAGGTTTGACTGTATTCTAAAGATATATTGTTATGTGATATCATCTACTTAATCAATATCAAAATTTTGAACAATGATCAAATCATAAGATGTTAATGAATTTAAAAAAGGGAATTAAAATGACAAATTTTTTTTTGGTTTTGTTCATTAAAATTAAAAAAAAAAAAGAAAGATATAAACATGCCTGTGATCTCAAAGAAAGTCAGACAATACTCTTCTAAAATCTTGGAATACTGTAGCTCTTGATGTTTACTAAATGAAACACCTTATCTGCAACCTTTTGCCCTACCTGTATGTAAAATCAGGCATTGGCTTCTGTTGGCTGTTTGTCCATCCAAGAAATAATTAACTATACCAGTTCTATACTATGACAAATGAATAAAAACTGTTTCTTTGTTTTTGATGATAGGGAATCATTTATGATTTTTTTTTTCAACTCGCTCACTTTTAAAGCATGAAAAATACAGTATGTAAAGATTTCCTAATTAGTGACTTTCTCTTTGAGTCTTCTACTCTATCAAATATTTAAAAAATTATTAAAAGATTTAAGATTTTTGACCACTAAAAGCTTTTAGTCATTTGACTCAGAAATCTTGAGCTTCTGGTTCTCTGCTGTGTCATGCAGTAAAATTACTTTACAGGCATGTAATCCATACTGCATTTTGCTCTCTTTTTTTAGGTTGAGAATGTGACTATCTCCTTTAAGGTATCTGATCCATAACAGCCTCAGATTCAATGAAACTGAATGCATAACAGATATATATTGGCTGAATACTCAATATATGGAGACATGATCTTCATGTTTTAGTCATATTATGTAAAAGTGGAATATGTCCTAATTTTTTACCTCAACCTGTCCTTGAAGAGTTATCACCCTTTGCTTTTAGCCTTTTAATCAATAAAATTCATTCTCAAAAAAATTTATCTCAGACCTGTTTACCCATATCGTCGTCTCTCAGTATTTTTGATTAGATTTATCCATGAGATTTGGCATTTGCTAGTAAGATTTAACTTTCCACTGATGTTACATATTTCAGAAGAGAACAACTGCTTTTCTGATTACAAAAACTTGGTTTAAAACATGTTCTTTGTCATTTTATAATACCACAGCATTTTGGCAACCCGACATCACTTAAGAGTTTGAAATCTTTCTCTTTTTTAGCGATGCAAAAGCGTGAAACGAAGATAGATCATAACGAAAACTAACTGCTAATTCCAAACGAACATATTTCCGATAATAGCAAATCGTGAGACGTATTTTAAACTAAAAATCCGCACAAAATACGGTGAAATCATAAGAGTAAACAGGTCTGCTATCTGGTGAAAAATTATTTTTTAATCATTTTTCTATCCTTAATAATTATACACATGTTTCCGTCGTAGCATTTTATGATGTTCATTGTAATTAAATCTTTACTTTAAAAAAATTTGCTTGTTCTTGGTATAGACCTCAATGCATTCTTAATTACTTAATTACTGTTTGGGTAACCATATTTTTGAAAAATCAAAGTTCTCCGGTAAATCCTCTTCTACTCTAAACTGAACTAATGATAAAGATTTTTTTTCTGAACATATGCAGAAATAAATGAGGACAGGGCCAGTAAAAAGCCTTGAAAACTAGGACAATTACATGGTCCCTACGGTTTAAAAATATTATTTGCAACCCTGCAACAATGTTAATTTGACTACGTTAACTCCGAAAACCACGTGACAGCGCCCAAATATGATTACTCAACTCACTTTGTTTCAAACCCCTTGCACATAGCTTGTTTCATGAGATCAGAAATTGATTTTAAAAAAACATTTAAAGAAGTCTACTATATTTGTAAGCGCGTTATTATATCTCTCCATGAAATCGAATTTACATTCTTCAAGTTGGGAGAGAAAGGCAAACGCGATTCCCCTACCCTTTCTTACTATTGTACGTGTAGAATCACTAGAATGCAATTTTAGCAAACATGGCAATAATTTTTTTCTGAAAATCCGTACCTGTAGTGTTATCTTCTTGGGTATAAAATGGACGTCCTTCACTATATATTTACCATCTTTGCATTAACAAAATACCTTTCTTGGGGGGTAAAATCGGCTGTAAAAACCAATATGGCGCACATGCGTGAACACGGACCAAATACATAAAAAAATTAAAGGAGTTGTCCGGATAAAAACGGACGCTTTAGTAGATAACTGCGTTTTGCTGTTGTTGATGCATCCTATTCGAGTTTCATTAGAGACAAAAATGTTAATATGTCTCTGGTTTTATGTAACGAAGCAAGTTCTAGAGAAACGCTTGTAAGCTGATATTCTGTGTTTTAGGAGCCATCTGGTCCTAGGATCATGAAACATCTTAAGCTTAAGTCAAATCTTTATTTTATTATAAAATGCTTGTTTTATGCCGAGAACCGATTTTTATGCTGAAAACTGCTTTTATGCCAAAATGTTTTTATGATGCAGTTTACCCGGGATTTTATTAAATTAAAATAGAACTTAAAAAAAAATAGTAATGGCCATATATTCATTATTCCCTAATCCTTAAACTCATTGTATATAATAACTTTGACAAAAGTTTGTATCTTGTGTTGATGGGATTAGCTCTTAAAAGTTGAAAAACTTTAATGAGGTGTATTGAGGTGTAAAGAGGTGTAAATAGTTTCATGACTTATGTCATATGGAGGAATTCTTTGGTCAAATATTCCTACATTGATTGATATTGTGTGATTTGTTGGTGTTTGAAACTTGGTCATTGATGAGGTTTTAACTGAATTACTTGATATTGATCAGTGTGATGAGTTGTATCAGGTAAATTGGTTTTTATTTATATTTCATGGTTACTATTATTGTACGTACTTCTTTGGAAATGTCAGGAGCCATTTCAACGAAGAGGGGGAGTATGTAACCAGGGTTATGTATTATTATCAGTGCTATATGTACTTGCACTGCATATATGTGAGAATGTGGTATGAAAGACTTTGTGTGAATGAGGTTGTTGATATTTTTAGACACTAGACGGACAGTCACATGACTTTATCCTATTCACTGAATTCCCGCTTGCACGAACTAAAATCGGGCACTCTGAGCCTAGCCGTTGAATTGGTTAGATGTCTACTCTATAATCATTATACAGATAGTATAATATTTGTGAATTCCTGTGTGTGTCCCGGTAAGAAACCTATTCTAAAGTAAAGTCTATTATGTTTCAATTATCTGTCTAAATGTCTGTCTATGTGTCGTCTATATGTTGTGTGTAATTGTAATATTTCAGGTTTTTCTGAGGTTTTTGACGTCTAATTTTATCGTTAATAAATAAAATTGAACCTGAACCAGTTAAAATTTCATGTTCTACAACTAGCTACACATAGAAAGGTCTTATAACAATAAATACAAATTGTGTCATGGTGCGGTACTTTTTCTTTTGATGTTGGCCATACTTTAAATCAGATGGAAAACCTTTGGCTGAATCCCAACGTACTATAACTTCTAGGGGGCGGAGCTTAGCCGTACAATAACTTCCAATTTACCGTACAATAACTTCCGACAGAATTCGATGGATACGTAACAGGGATGGGGTACTAGTAATTGAACAAAAAAGTAAATGTACTTGACTGTAATTAATTAATTACAGTTTTGTAAAGTAATTATAAAGCAATTAATTACCTGATTCATAAAGCCTAGCTGTAATTAAATTGAAGAGAAAGTCAAAGTAATTGTAATTTGATTAATTACTTTTTAATGTAATCGAATCCATTCCTGAGTTACTAGTTAACTGCTTTAAACAAAGAAATAAAAACAATACACAGGTTTTCACTAAAAACACGTATATTAAAATGAAAATAAGATAATTTAAATCTGACAATATTGAAAACACGCGCAGTTTGATGATTTTCTTAAAAGTACCTGTTTCCTGGGTACCTTGAGTTACATGCACAGTGACACATGTTTGTATAATATACAAGTATGCATTCGGACTTTTTCACAATGCATTCCATAATTTTGACACCAGTGGCTACCGTACTTCATTCGGATTTCCTCCGGACATGCAACTTTTTCCGTAGTAACAGTAATGAAGCGGATCATTTTGCGGACGGATCCAGGTTTCCAGTACCTTATGGTTTTTTGAAATATTCAAACTGCTTAAATTAATCCATCAGATACAATTGCACACTCTTTTAACATCGCTTGACTTTCCAATGCAGCCATCTCCTTCGTACTTTCTGATTTGTTTGAACCGTCTACGATGGACCTAGGCCCGTGACGTAATGTCGCGTGCAGTTTAATGTCGAGGGAGTGGCTATGCAAATGACCATGACACAAGACATTTACAGACCCTTTCTTTTGTTTGTAAGGAATTTATTATACAGAGAGGCGTGGCTGTCTCGTCGCTGCGCGACTCGACTGCCACGCCTCTCTGTACAATAAATTCCTTACAAACGAAAGAAAGTACTGTAAATATAACCCTGAATGACATGGCATCAGATTCAAAAGTTATGGTCAAGGTAAAAGTTGGTTAATTTTTGCAAAATTGGGTCAGACTACAAAGTCAAGAGGTAAAATATGTTTTTACCAAAGAACAGGTTGGGACCAATCACCCAAATGGGATATAATAGTCTGTTTGGGATATAATATCCCAAATGGGCTATAAATTTACAGTGCAAAAAATGAAAATTTTTATTTTGGCTATAAATATCATAAATCCGCATCAGGACACTTAAAACAGAATAACTTTTAGCTGACAAGTTTTTCTGCAACCCTACAGTTTGTAAGATTGATCCCCAAGAAGTTATGGAACTTCCGAGGGATCAATCTTCTAAACAATGGGCATACAGAAAAACTTGTGAACCAAAAGTTATTCCTTTATAAGTGTCCAAATGCGGATTTATGATATTTATAGCCAAAATAAAAATTTTCATTTTTTGCACTGTAAATTTATGGAATCAGGACAACTCGCCCCCAAGACAACTCGCCCCCAACACCTGTTAAGACAACTCGCCCCCAGTTTAGGACAACTCGCCCCCACTCAGGACAGCTCGCCCCCACTGTAGAGACAACTCGCCCCCATTATATTTCATTGTGTATTGCAAGGAAAAAACGACATATATTATTCACTAAAATATATTTTAAATGCAAAATTAATTTATGATTTATAATTGATATTTATTATAAGTAAAATAAAATTAATATTTACGATTGTGTGTGTAATATGTTGTTATTTGTTTGGGTTTTTTCATATATAAAGTAAATACAATATATGTATGAAATATTTATTATTTCCTTAGACTTTTTTCTTATGAAATAAAGCAAAAAATGCATTATATTGTTTTAAATTTTTAACTGTAGAATATGTCTAGGTAAATCAAGTACAATGTTCTAAGTTGAACAATCTTAATTATTTAATGACATATTAATGATATTCTATTGACGGCTTTTAGGAAACTTATGAAAACTGAAATGAAAACATCAAACAGAATTTTAATGAAATCCCCAAGCTCACAAGTAATTTGGAACTTCAAAGTGATGATCAATTAGGACAAGCAAGCCAAGAAAATTATGTATATTTAGTTGACCAAAAATTGGCTTGTCCAAGCTCCAAAGCAGCTTTAAAGTAATGAAGAATCAGAGCATGCAAGCCTCGAAAATTACGTATATACAGTTGATAAAAAAAAAAAATGGTGTATCCAAGCTCCGAAGCAACTTAAAACCTTAAAGTGATGAAGAATTCAAGAAAGCTTGAGTTGGAAACAAATAATTTAAAATATAAAATCACATTAAAATAATTCAATAAAAAAATATATTTAATATTATATAAAAAAATAAACATTTTAATTTCATAGAAAAAAATTATATTAATCGTATCTTCTCCTTTTTTAAGCGCAATGTTATAGGCATAAATGACAGCATAAATGCAAATATTGATGAATTTAATCTAAAACATATTTCTTTTTCAGGCATCTCACGTGAGGAGAGGAGTACAATTTTTTAGCGTAACTGACACCAGAAACATTTAAAATGAAAATAAATATCGAAATAATATGAAAATATATATATTAAATAAAAAATATATACATTTATATAAAAAAAATATCGCCCCCAATTTGCTTTCTTAAAGCTGGGGGCGAGTTATCTTAACCTGGGGGCGAGTTGTCTTAACAGGGGGCGAGTTGTCCTAAATTGGGGGCGAGTTGTCCTGAAAAGGTGGCGAGTTGTCTTGGGGGCGACTTGTCTTGGGGGCGAGTTGTCCAGCATTCAAATTTATAGCCCATTTGGGATATTATATCCTAAACAGACTATTATATCCCATTTGGCCAATTGGTCCCAACCTGAAGAAAGGCATTGTCACATGGAATACACATATTGCGATATAAAGCCATAGCTCCAACCAGTCAAAGGTTATATAGTTATGGGTATTGTAAAAGTTTTGCTGACAGATAAACAGACACTGGCAAGTATATTGTAGACAGACGGACAGTGAAATTATATACCCCCATTCTTTGATTAAGGGGGCATAAAAATGTATACTTTTACTCAAAACTTTGAGGATAAACTTTTTATAGAATGGAGTGAATACCCATATCGAAAAAATTACTTGATAATACCGGTATATAACAGAGATATAAAAATATTAAATGGTTTGATATGTCTCTGGTTAATTATAAGTATAGGGGAATAATCATTTTTGTCCTCTTTAGTGTGTTTATGCTATTCCTATAGGCGAATAATTTGAGATTTTTGCAGATTTTGCATAAAGTATACTTTGATGATTAGACGAGATGTCATATAATTTTTATTCAACGCATGCGTTAATTTTCGGCATCTTCATGAGCATTTTACTAATTTTACGCATTTTGCGCCCCCTTTTCGCCCATCTTCTTCCAGAATTATCCAGCAACAGGAATAAGTACGGTGTAAAATTATCGTTTATTTAAAAACATGTTCAACAATAATAAATCCCACCTTCTCGGGCATTTCTGGCATGCCCAGAAAGACCCCGTGAAAGATAAGAAAAAAATTCCTATTTTGTCCGGACTGAAAAAATCAGGTCATATATGAAGAAATTAAAAATATATATATAGGCCTACGAGAATTAAAAAGAAATATTTCTCTCAATCAAAGGTATTTTCAATTTATGTTTTTAACATAAAACATAACTTACTGCAAAAATCTAATTTTGACATTCATTGATCGACGTTATTTGAACGCTCTGAAAGAAACCAGTATCTCTCGTTTCATAAAGCACAGTTACCGCCTGTAAACGACCGTCAACAAAGATGGCGGTGAAAGTGGTTCGGTGCTTTATTTATCTTTTACCAGTTGTTTTAGCCCAAAATGAATACATTCCCATCATAACGAAGGATGATTGTACGACCGTAACAAATTTAGGACAACAATACAATCAATATTTCAATACTTTGTCGATGAGATGCACGTCCTGCTTACAAAATACAACATTTCAAGACGTCAGTTCTGATGGTAAGCCGTGTCTGAACTTGACGTCAATACGAGAAAATCATGATCAATGTGAATTGATGTTTCAGTAATTTTAGATGAGTAATTAATGCCTTGGAAACATTATTTCTTTCACAATGAATGTATAGATCTTCATATTAATTAAAAATTGTTGGTTTACCTTTTCAGGTTACTCATGTGAATGTAAATCAGATTACAAGTATGTAACTAATTTTGGAGGCGCAAACATATGGTGTAGCAAGTGCCCATTAAATCAGGTATTATTAAAATTGACCAACAGAATTAACGAAATTTTGAAATAACTGTCAGACATTTGGTCTAACCAGGGACCTATATACTAAACTAAAGGGATAGGCAACTCCTTCATCGCCATGTTTATTTACCCAAAACATCACGCACAACACTACAAGTTTTTTTAATCTACATTTATTCCCAATAAATAAGATGGTTTCTGATTAATATCATTTATTCCTTTTATGTATTGGAAATGATTTATAATAAATTTTAAAGCATAAGTATTATAATTTAAATATAAAGAAAACAAACACCAAAATATGCGATTTCTCGGAAATACATCTGATCATGGGCATGTGCTGATTTTGAATAAAACAAATTTACTAGTAAGATAAGGAGTATAATCTGTGCTAAAAATAAATCTTGAATAATTTTTTGATAGATTGTTAAAGGTTTTGATCAAATATATGTGATAGCATTAGAGATATAATTAATTAAAGTTGTCTTACGAAATCCCGCAACGTTGGAGATATTGGGAGACTTGTGATAGTTGCCTATTCCGTTACTATATAGGTCCCTGGTCTAACAAAGTCAAATGTTCTGTCAGACCGGATGAAGTTTTGTCAGACCGGATACTTGTACCTTAATTTTGACACGTAAAAAGAAAAAATAACTGCACTAAAATGTACTTTATTTTCAACAACCTTTCAAGTTTCTTTTGTTGGATAGAAACTCTTTTATCAGCAATTTCTTTTTTTATGTTCACCTGTGCACCCCTATCCCATTTGCATCATGCTCAATTTTCTCAAAAGGTAATTTGGACCAATGTTTTTCTTGTAAATTATCAATCCATACAAATACCAGCCTTGCCGACAGGACCGACAGATTTCAACAAGTCTGTAATTGCAGACTATTCCATAGATTCTTCTTTTAAACTTGCCTGAGCCAGAGGTTCAATGAGCTTTTCTTGTTAAAGGGGTCTAACGTCCATCTGTTGTCTGTATACTTTTCCGCATTTTCAACTTATGCACAAAAAGCAGTGGCCCAATTTTAATTGAACTAACTTAAAATACTGTGTTGTTGAAAATAATGTTAACCATGTACAGAATTTTTTTAACCCTATATTCATGATATAAATGTCTACAAAAATTAAGCTGGTTTTATAAAAATCTTACAAACTGTTCATTTGTATATTGATTTTTCATTCTATAGATAAATTGGATGTAAAAGGGTTTGTAAATTATATATGTATTATTTTTTTTAGGTCAGATCAGCTGATGGCTGGGGCTGTGTCACTTGTGAGGCAGGGACAGCATGTGCTTGTGGGGGCAACAATGTAGCAGGTACTTCAGAAGTGAAACAATCATCATTTTCATGAATTATATTTATTGGGTTTGATACTCTTAGTTACAACTTCATTATTGAACTAAATGTACATATGTAACTTTATCAGTGGAGAGGGAGGTTAATGGAGGGCTGGTGACGACTACAGGGGGAGGGGACGCCCGGGTCTGCCAGGCATGTGCTGACTTCACCAGTCCCAATCTCAAGGGTGACAGGTAAATGTTAGATGTATATCAGAAATCATATCTCAGTGTAATTTATAACATCAGGGAAATAGGAAAACATGAAGTGTTTGTCATACCTTCATGCACCCTTCTGTCTATCCTTCATTATGTCTAGGGAAGTTTTTAAAAAACTTTGAACACTGATATGGATTGTTGAGATGAGTTTTTTTGTCAAGATTTTCTGATATTTGACATCAATTCCTCATTTTTTTAAATTAATTTGAGTTTTAAAGACACTGCTTAAAATAAAGTTTTATTAATTCAGATTCATTCACTGACACATAACCAATTTTGATGAGAGCTAATCATTTGTGTTAAACAAGTGAAACATTTGACCATTGGTTGGATGGTACTCACCATAATGAGACAAAGTGTTAGTCATATGACTTAATGACATTGTGTTTTTAGGTGTGAGAGATGCAACATGTTACTAAAAATAAATCCTACCTGGAGAACATGTACCTGTCCTAGTGGCCAGCTGGTAAGTGTGATCTGTTTGAGTCCTTAAATTTACAATAAAAAATAAAAGATAAAGAAATTTGTAGATCAATGCCTATTCAGCAAATATAGATTAAGATTTCAAACAATAAAGATGTTAATTGTTTAAATTCATTCAAATTCCACTGGTAGATAAAATTTGGTAACAGTATTAAAGTTGATTAAACCAAGTTACTTATATTTTACCTTGTTGTGATATAAATGAACTGTTTTGCCATGATTGCCTTGATAGAACAATGTATGAATTTCTTTCAAAATGCTGTGTTTTATACAGCTAGGTCCAGTTTTAATAAATACACATAATTCTGTCTTAAAACACTAAACCTTTATCGGGTCAGTAACATCCAATGACGGAGATACTTCTTGCTGCCTCATCAAGGATTACCTGTACATGAAAACATTATTAGATTATCAACATAGCAGTAGTAATATTTCTTGTATGATTTATTTCAGAGTGGTGGAATTTGTTTCAATAACACCATTAGATCCTTCCAGATCACTACAGTACCTTTAACTGTAAGTATCATTATATTAAAGATAGGGTGTATCAGTGCTGCTATACAAGGAAACACACATTCAGTAAAATTAATTTTTTTTTAATCATATCCCAACAACAAAAAAATTGCACTGTTTGCTGTTTAATAATGTAGACAGTACACTGTACTAGTTTCTATGCATTGTTTTAGTTTCTTAATTTTACAGTTTCCCTGCTCCTGTTAGTTATATTGTATTTTATCTTTATATATACAGAGTGGAACAGCTGAGTCGACGTATGTGAGAGAACATGTACAGGCAGCCTACCTCATGTGTAGAGTAAGTCACTGTTATAACTGATAACCAGTGCTACTCCATGTCAACAAAGTTAGAGCAGAGATTTTGTCTAATGCTGAATACTCCAAGTCTCCAACTTCATTTAACTTTCCTTTTCTTTTTCATAAAAAATTGTAACATTTGATGTTGGAAATGAAGACATGGACTAAATTTTTTCATAATTTGCAACAATTAAAATATTGCTTATACTTAAAAACTGGATAGCATATTTTAAACATTTGATGAATTCTGTTACACCTTTATTGTAGGATTTTGTAAACTCCACGGCTTGCAGATTCTAAGTAACCTTTGTGTTACACCTTTATTGTAGGATTTTGTAAACTCCACGGCTTGCCAGATTCTAAGTAACCTTTGTGTGCTATCTTGGTTTGAGTATGATGCCTCTCTCACCGAGACTAAGACTTGTAACCTGTACAGAAAGGTCCCCGAAAAAAACCTCCCAGCCACACTAGGACAGGATTGGTAAGTACCAGTTTATGGAATCCAATTGTCAGCCATTCTGCTTCCAGGCAGTTTAATTTATGTGTTTAATCCAGTAAAAGAAATGCTTACCCCCTGTGTTTAATCTGTTAAAAGAAATGCTTACATTTTGTGTTTTATTCTGTTACAAGAATGCCTACCTCCCTTTGTTTTATCCAGTTAAAGAAATGTTTACATTTTGTGTTTTATTCTGTTACAGGAATGCCTACCTCCCTTTGTTTTATCCAGTTAAAGAAATGCTTACATTTTGTGTTTTATTCTGTTACAGGAATGCCTACCTCCCTGTTCTGTATTACTCCCAGGAAGGGGACAGAATCCTGGATGATGACTCTCTAACTACGGAGTACACATTTAGTCCTGTGTCTTACCTGGAGTATCGTGTAGGACGGTACACCTTAAACGGAACATACCTAGGCACGTCGGAGGTTAAAGGTGGACGACTCCAGCTTTGCTCGGACACTACCTCAAGACTCAATGCAGCTTATACATTTGGCACTTACTATGAACAGTCTGTAAGTATTCAAGAAATATCTCCTTTTTAAAGTATAAAGTCAATTTCAATTTTAGCTCCATCATTTCATATCCTTGGGAAGTGGGAAAAATTAACGAGGCTGGGGTGTGGCAGCCATTTTCAGACTATTTTTATCTCCTTTAAAAGGAGAGCTCCATATGAAGATATAGAAAATGATCAAATTTTAAAACTAAAATGTATGATTTTTTTCTTTGTGAAATGATAGTAGACAGCTTAAGTTACCGTATCTAAAAAAATAAGTTAAATCTGGTGGTTAATTTGTGATTAATTTGTTGACCCCCCAGCCTCCTTAAAGAAAATTGTGTGTTTTCAGTATTAGGTTGATTGTATAGAGTATTTTGATAATATTTATGTTTGTTCGTTGTTGTACAAGCAGAAGTGACATATACTTTTTATGAACAATAACTGACTGCTTCCTTATTTCAGTGTTCCATTCCTGCGATAGATCTTTGGGACACCCAGAAATACCAACTGGAGTTCTTTGACTTATGTATCCTTTGTTTAAATTTAACCATAATGTGTAATCATACCTTTCTTCAAGGATACATTACAATGACTGAATGGCAGTCTGAACCTTTATTACATTATGTACAGTATACTTACGTTTTACTTAACTTCAACAAGATATTGAGATTACACGAAATGGAGAAAAACAACTGTATGCAGCCCCAGTGAAAATCAACAACCTGGTGTTTGGAGGGGACAAAGTGAATACAGGTAACTAGGACTCATCAGAATCAATGACTAAGAGTTTAAATTTATTATTACACTCTATATGTTTGTATAATGACACTGTAGTGACCACTCATTTTAACATTTAACACTTTATGACCACTCATTCGATACTAATTGTGACCACCCAGTTGTTACAATTTTGTGTGTATCCACAATTGCAGTTTGCTTCCATCATAAATTTAATATACAGTTAATTTTGTGTTCATTCAAGTGTTACACTTTCACTCGTGTCCATTGTGACTCCACTCATTGAAACACATATACATGTACCATTTGTGTGTATACTCATACATGTTAACTCTACCGATTTAAGCGGGAGTGTACCGCTTTTTCACTCCATCTCCCGCCTACCGATTTTATTCATAAATCTACTGCTTTTCTACAAAAGTTTCGTTTAAAGTTTGGTTCGCTTGGGTATCCATTTTTGAAGCCACTCGTCTTAAAATCTCATTAGATATCTCGTGATTTGACCCGGAAGCATACAAACGCTTTTTTTGTACCGATGTGTACATAGATTTCAAGCATGTTTTTGACAATGACAACATCACAGGATGCCAGTGATTACATTGGTTACGATAAATTTCTTTAGCATTACTGCCATGGAAAAGGAGATACTGCATTTAAGAATTGGATGAAAGCGTTTGACATTGTCTATAAAAGCACAAGAGATCACAATTTCATCAATAAAGTCAATAAAAATCACTCGATTGACCAAGCCATGAGGCACATCTCTACTTTCATTTTCGATCATCGCGGTAAATCCGATTTAATTAACGAAAGATAGGAAATAGTTTTAGATCTGTATTAAACCATGTCTTCATTTGTTGTGTTTGACAACTGAATGAACATCCAGAATAATTGCCTCTGGGCTACATCAGCAAAGATCACACTTCAAAAGGCTAAGTTTAGCAGCCAATCAAAGCAAAATGATGAGCATGAAAAACATTCGAATTAGTATAATTGATGTCAAACTTAAGGTGTTTCTGTCTATTTCTTTGCAGTTGATATTTAAGATTAATTATTGTAGTTTTCATTTAAAGCCATACATGTTTATTACATGAAATATATCTTCATCCAAGCGTAAAACAACACACGCGCAATGCTACTGCTTTGGAGGTTTGAATCTCCCTATTTTTCATCACAATAGGTTAACATGTATGGTATACTATTGTTCCACTTTCTTACATAGGAGCAAATTAATAATTGTACAATTGAAGTAAATGTTGTGAATGTTGATAGTAATTATATAAGTTGTTTTTGCTCCTATTTAAGGTTCCAGCACTAGGGACTGGATTCTGACGCGGAGATTTTTCCTGGTGGATAACGTAGTCACAACAGGAGCAGACACTTCTGGAGGTGCGTATCCAGACTCTAAATCCAGACACAGCAGTAGTTCTGATGAATAACGTCCTCATTCACATTTTTTGAGTAGATATGATACAATTTATGAAAATGAATGCAAAATAAAATATTCTTGATATTTTTAAATTTGTCCGGTGTCCGTTTTTCCGTCTGTCTGTAAACTTTTCACATTTGACTTTTTACAGAACCGCTGGGCCAATTTCAACCAAACTTGCCACAAAGTACATTGGGTGAAGGGGATTCAAGTTTGTTCAAATGAAGGGCCAATTCAAGGGGAGATAATTGGGAATAAAATCTTCTTTCAAGAACCACTGTGCCAGGAAAGATGAAACTTATGGAGAAACATCCTCAGGTAGTGTAGATTCAAATTTGTTCAAATCATGACCCCCGAGGGTAGGGCGGGGCCAAAATGGCTGACCAAAGTTTTACATTGAAATATATAGGAATATTCTTTAAAAATCTTCTTCTCAAGAATGACAAAGCCATAATTCATCATATTTATATGGAAGCATGCTCAGGTAGTGTAGATTCAAATTTGTTCAAATCATGACCCCTGGGGGTAGGGCGGGGCCAAAATGGCCGACCAAAGTTTTACATAGAAATATGGAGGAAAATTCTTTAAAAATCTTCTTCTCAAGAATGACAAAGCCATAATTCATCATATTTATATGGAAGCATGCTCAGGTAGTGTAGATTCAAGTTTGTTAAATCATGACCCCCGGGGGTAGGACGGGGCCAAAATGGCCGACCAAAGTTTTACGTAGAAATATATAGGAAATTTCTTTAGAAATCTTCTTCTCAAGAATGACAAAGCCATAATTCATCATATTTATATGGAAGCATGCTCAGGTAGTTTAGATTCAATTTTGTTCAAATCATGACCCCCGCGGGTAGGGCAGGGCCAAAATGGCCGACCAAAGTTTTACATAGAAATATATAGGAAAATTCTTTAAAAATCTTCTTCTCAAGAATGACAAAGCCATAATTCATCAATTTATATGGAAGCATGCTCAGGTAGTGTAGATTCAAGTTTGTTCAAATCACGACCCCCGGGGGTAGGGCGGGGCCAAAATGGCCGACCAAAGTTTTACATAGGAGTATCTAGGGAAAATCTTTCAAAATCTTCTTCTCAAGAACCACAGGGCCAGGAAAGATGAAACTCATGTGGAAGCATCCTCAGGTAGTGTAGATTTCAAGTTTGTTCAAATCATGACCCCCGGTAAGGTGGGGCCACAATGGCTGATCAAAGTTTTACATAGGAATTTATAGAAAATCGTCTTCTCAAGTACTTCAAAGCAATTATTAGTGATAGTGTAGGAAGAAAATGTTTTTAAAAAATCCTTTTATCAAGAACAGCAAAGTCATATACTGTATTAATATGAAGGCATTCTAAAGTAGTATTAAATTCAAGCCCCCCCCCCCCCCCCCCCCCCCCCCCCCCCCCCCCCCCCCCCCCCCCCCCCCCCCCCCCCCCCCCCCCCCCTTCAGTAAACTTTTCAGTTCTGATCTGATTTGTAGAATTCCTAGCCGATATTTGCTCAGGTGAGCGATGTGGCCCCTGGGCCTCTTGGTAAATTTGTTACAGAAATGTTTACATAAATGTAAAATTCAGGAACTCCATTGATCTTGAATATGTATTGGATAGTACATTGTAAATATTTGTACTTTTTAAGATGACTACTGATTACTGAGTAATTTTACCTGTCTGCTGTAGGCGGTACTACACCCACCCCCTCCCTGCCTCAGTATGTGAGATACGCCAAGAGTATCGAGATTTCTGTCACCCTTTACAGCACCCTCCCAAATGGACGTATATATCCTCCTCTGATGACTATCACATACGACCAGGTGTCACTCATCAATGCCCAGGCAGGAGCCTCCATTAGTGTATGTATTAAAACAATTACTCATCAATATCAAGGCACTGGCCTCCTTTATTGTATGTATTAAAACAATCACTCATCAATACCAAGGTAGGGGCCTCCATTAGTATACATATTAAAACAATCATTTATCAATGCTCAGACAGGGCCTTTCTTTATGGTATAGAAACAAGGAGATATGTTGTCCAGTGTCAAATACTGTAAATCACTTTTTATTCATGAGAACTTTATTTTCGCGTAATTACGGGAGAAAGTGTGCTCGCAAAAATTTAATTCTCGCGTATAATAGTATTCCTTAAGAATATATACAGCAATAACCACAATTCGTGAAAATTTTGTCTCGTTAATCAAGATTCAGTGACTATCGCGAAAATAAGGTGTCGCGAAAATTTAGTGATCTACAGTATCTACCGGTACAGTATGTAACAAAAACCAGTTTGCATAAATGGTGTTTTAAATGCTTGAAATAGTTTTCATGTTAACCATTTACAAGTCAGACGTTTCATTTCCATCAAACAAATTTATGATGATCTTTTGTCTGTCATGAGAAGATATCTGTTGGTATACAAATGATTTTTGCTTTACAGCCCACATTTAAAGTGAAGTACAACATGGGATTAGATTCATACAGGAAAGATTTCCAAATTGCCGTGGGAACACTGTCAACATTGGGAGTGATTTTGGCGGGGTATAAAACGTGGGTGTGGTCAAAGAGAGCTGGGCGTCTGGCCATTGATTTTGCTTCTATCATCAACTTTGTGTTTTACGTCAGCGGCGTCCTGTCTAATGTCTTTTTCGTCATCACTTTTGGAATTGCATTTTACTTCCTTATCTTTTACAAAGTAAGTTTATTATAGAAAACTCAATTGGTTGGCCTAATCAATTAATGTAATATGTTAAGAGAAGGAAAAGTTTCTACATTAATTTAGGAAAAACGACAAATTAGATTAAAATCATTTTATGGACTATTTCCATTTGTAAGACCTTTAGGCTTTTATTTCACCAAAGCCTTCCTGTGTTTTGATATTTTTTGACAGCTTTCGACCAGAGACTCTAGTCATCAAAACTTGTTCATGTTCTGTTGACACGACTGTCTCTGGTCAAAACTAGTCAACAAGCTAAATTTATACTTCTGTGTTCTCACAAAGATTTGATGATCTGTTTTTTATCTTGAAATATAATAAATTACTATGAACCCAGTACATTTTTTTAGACACAAAAAAATGTGTGCAGTAAAATCATGAAATGAATGCAATGAGAATTTCATTAAGTTGTCTACAGACACAGAATTGGTATATCTACAGCAGAACTCGTTTAGTACGAACACAGATATTGCGAATTTATGAATATAACAAAGTCATCTTGGATCCCAAGCTATATAATTTCTTATATGGTTAAAACGAATTACAGATATAGCAAAGTAATTTTATAGGTCCAAGTGACTTCATTATAACCAAGTTTTGCTGTATATTTCTCTACAGAGACAGAATTATGTGTATCTATTCCTGTTGGATGGAATCCAATATGAGGAATGGCTGGGTCTCTTTGGATCAGCCTTTGCCCTGAAATGTCTCCAGGTAGCTCATATGATAGCATCACAGTGCACGGTAGACATCTTCTTCATCGACTGGGAAAAACCCAAGGGAACTCTGGGAATCAAATCTGACGGCAGCAAGAAAGAGAACCCGGTGTCAATATGGAGGACATACTTCGTGGCCAACGAGTGGAATGAGATTCAGACTTGCAGAAAAATAAACCACATCTTCCAGATCTTTGCCACAGTCTTCTTTCTGAGTTATGTTGGGTTTGAGAATGTGGCCACCAAGGACCCAAATGGACAAGTGGTGAAGAGTTCGTCAGATTATCAGGCACCGTACGACACCATGTTTAGATACGCAATAGGCGCTCTAGTATATCTTCTTGTTGGTGAGTATTTTGTTTATTTATATATATTAATAAAAAGTGTGAATCATAATAAAATCCATGGCAGATAGCAGTGTTTGAAGATGCATTTTAATGTGCATATACCAAGACTATATTCTTTGAATTTAACTTATTTTTGCACAATGTTTATTAAGCTTTAAATTGATTAATTAATGTGTTCATTTTCTTTTTGGTTTTGAATTACATTGTCAAATCTTACTTTGAGAAAAAAGCAGAGTTTAAAAAAAAATGAGGATTTGTTTGGGGTGTTCTCCCTTACCTTTACATTTTGGTGACTGAAATAAAATCTTCAAATATTTCTTTTTCAGCATTTGTGCAGTGGTTATTTTTTACACTCATCTATGAGAGATTCTTTGAGGACAAAGTTCGTGATTTTGTGGACCTGTGTTCCATGGCTAACATCAGCGTCTTTATCATGCACCATGCTCAGTATGGCTACTACATTCACGGTCGCTCAGTCTACGGGAAGGCAGACACAAACATGAAGGAGATGTTTGAGATGATGAAACGAGAAGAGGTATGCTCCATTTGTGCTGTTATGTGAAGGAAATATCCCAAGTGTAATACATCACCGCAAAAGTGATGACGTCAATATTCTCAGACCTGTACCAATGATCTTGATTATAAAGGATGAGCATATTAGACTGGCATTGGGGGGTTCAATTCATAAGGAGCCCTGAAGCATTTTGACTACTTTTCATCTCTCATGAGTTAGAGGCTCAAGTGAGCTTTTCTGATCATCAAATGTCTGGCATGTCAAGATAATTTATATGCACATGTATAGGCACACTGCAAGACGCTATAACGCTCTTGTTTTTATTTTGCTTCATTACAGAATGCATGATATTTCACAAACTGTACCAATTTTTGTCAAATACTGAAAAATTATCATAATTTATGGAGGCCAAAGTTTGTGGGTAACCAAACTTTTATTACGTCACCTGAGTAAACTCAGTGACCTATTGCTATCTGTTTTCGTCCGTCGTCGTGCGTTGTGCGTTAACATTTGAATATGTTTAACGTCTTCTCTGAAACCACTGAACCAATTTCAATCAAATTTGGCATATAGCATCTATAGGTGAAGGGGAAAAAAAGTTATGAATTTCATGGTCCCTGCCCCCCTGGGGCCGGGGGGGGGGGGGGGGGGGGGGGGGGGGGGGGGGGGGGCAAAAACCACTAAAATTAGTGCAATCTTTAAAAATCTTCTTCTTTACTCTTGGACATCAAGCAGTCAAACTGTTGGTATGATTGTAATCAACATTGAGTCCTCTACCAAAATTGTGAAATTCATGGCCCCAGGGTCAGGGGTTCTAGTGCTAGGGCGGGGCTAAACAGGTTGTATAGTGAAAATGCATTATTTCTTTGAAATTCTTCTTTTCTGCTCCTGGGCATTAAATAAACTAACCAAGTGCATAGGTAAGTTAAAAATGACCGCCTTTTCCAAAATTGTGAATTTCATGGCCCCAGGGTCAGGGGTTCTAGTGCTAGGGCGGGGCTATATAGATTATATAGTGAAAATGCATAAATTCTTTGAAAATATTCTTCTTTGCTCCTGAGTATTAAATAAACTAACCAAGTACATAGTTATGTTGAATAAGGCTACCTCTTCCAAAATTGTGAATTTCATGGCTCCTGGGTTGGGGGTTCTAGTGTTAGGGTGGGGCTTTATTGATTATATAGTGAAAATGCATAAATTCTTTAAAACTCTTCTTTTCTGCACCTGAGAATTAAACCACTGAACTATGTACATACTAGTAGTTATGAGGAGGAAGGATGCCTCTTTGAGATTTTTGAATTTCAGGGTCCCTGGGTCAGGGCTTTTTTGTGTTAGGGTGGGGCTCTAATGTTTATAAAGTGAAAATGCATGAATTCTTTGAAAATCTTTTCTTTTGTTGTTGGGTATAATGCCAATGATCTTAATATATATTTATGACCAAAAAAACCTGCTTCTTCCAAAAATGGTTAATTTCCTGGCCCCTGGGACAGAGGTTCTTTGGGGGATGACATAGTCTGAAATAATTTAATGCTTTGAAATCTGCACTTTGGTATTAATCAATAGCATGATGAAATAAAATTTTTAAAAATTTCCAAAATTTTGAAAGATGTGGCCCCAGGGTCAGTGGTTCCTGTGGGATGGAGAGCTCAACTGTGGACCCGCTCTAACACAAGAAGCCCTGACCCAGGGGCCCTGAAATTCACTAAAAGTGGAAATGCATTTTCTCTTTGTTACTCTGATCTACCTCTGGGTATTATGATAAGCAATGGTGCCTGTTTCAAAATTGTGAATTTCATGGCCTCTGGTTTAAAACATGAATCAAATTCAATTGTTGGAAAGTTGTCGCATGATACTCAGGTGGACCTATAAGGCCCATGGGCCTCTTGTTAGTTCATTGGGGAGACATTTTGTGGTTAACTTATTTTTAAAAATCTATTTAATTTACACTCATTATGATTCTTTATTATAGTATTCTAATTTTGAGTATTGTTTTCACAGAAAGATTTAGTGGGCCAGAGAGGACTTCTTCCCAACACAGAGCAGCAGACATTTGTTATGACGTTACCACGGAAACTTCGTCTGAAATACGAGGAAGTCCTTCTAGCTGTGGCACTGGAGGTAGGCATTGTTTTACAAACAGAATAAAGACAAATGTAAGTGAACCTGATGATGGCTTATTTTGAATTTGAACTTTTTCAGGGGGCAGGTGGAGGCCCACAAGCGGGGAAGGAAAAGGGAGGATTAACAGACAAACAAGTGGAGGCATACAACGTCATTAATAAATTCTTATCTACTTTTATTGACCATGTGAGTAATTTGATTAAAACCAATAAGAAAATGAAAACAAAGTTCTACACTTTTTTTTTTTAAGTTTCAAATTCCTAATGATTCCATTTAAATTGCATATGCGTAAAAATGTCTTTTGTGTTTACAGTTAAATTAAAACTTAACCCATGATGTATTTCCTTGTAGTCTTTGAAGAATCTGGACTACCAGGTCAGAGATAAAACACTTCTGGAGAGCATTATGGATACAGAGTTCTTAGATGCCTCAGAAAAGGGATACTTCTACAATGGTAGGATCTCTCCCTCTCTCCATCAGAAACTTCTTTTGACATTTACATTTGATATGATTTTGCATCAAGTGTCTTTGTCAGCACAGCATTTATTAATGGTTTCCGTCTTTATATATTTGTGCAGATGATGGGCATTCCTTTGACCAGTGTTTGTTTTACGGGAATGAGATCACACTACTTCTGTTTGATACCTTACTTTTCTGTATCATCGATCTCATCGCTACAAACTTTGTCCTCTCAGGAATCATCACTTACATCATCGTAGAGGTAGGTACAGATGTACTAGAGGAGATTTTACTCCTAAACAGCAAAGCTTCATGTTTGATTATTGTTTGTCACAGTTAAGAAGGGAAATAAAGAACAGAACGATGCTTTAAAGCATTTTTGATGATGATGATTCAAATTTATTTAACATGATAGGCCATACCCCTTCCTTTCCAGAGAAAATAATTAAGATGTATTTCAAAACCTTTTCAACAACAGTAAAATTAACATAAAAGCTTTCTACTGTAGTGTAGATAAATTCACTCTGTACAATATGCTATTTCTTTATATTTTGTATCATTTACAATTTTTGTTGTAGCTTGTTGCTTTAGTGCGAGATCATGGAGGAAGGAAAAACTTGGCAAAGAAAACCTTAGTAGATGAGCGATTCCTGATATAGTGCTTAAATCCTGTGATAATTAACTGAGCATTCCAAGGTTGTGTATGACAAAGTTGCTAGTTGGATGAACGATTGTTAAAATTTGCCATTATATTTTATGTTTTATATGCATGTATTTATATTTTGAATGTATTTTTAATGTTTATACAATTCTTTTAAATCTCAGACTAACCGTCCATGATATTTTTGCACGACTGGTTGTAAAAAAACATACATATATACTAGTACGTAGATTATGTGATATTTTTAGTGACCTAGTTAAGCCTTTACCGGTATTTCATTAATTTTATACCTAAGACAAAGTTATTTCTCAATTTAAACTAAACAATCATAATATATGTGAATTACATAGGATTGAATACTTTTTACTTTTATTTGTAAATGATTGTGAATTGATAGGTTATTTTACTGCATTTACAGTAAGTGATTAAAATATTGAAATGCTTGAGTTTTTGCTTTATACATTATCCATTTGTCTGTTCAAATGGTCATTTTGAGATAGATGAATCGTGACACCCTAGAGAGAAGTTTTTGACTGTTGACCTTGTTCAAGTTATCATGGGGGTTTGGAGTATGATTGTCATTATTGATTAGTACAGTGTGGCTTGTTTGATATTCCTTAACTAAGTCCAGTTACATTAATATGAACGATAATAAGGATGGTCTGATACAACCTTTGCAATTTTGGGCCATTGTATTTTGCATTCTCATCACACTACAGTTGTCAAAACTTTGCTATACTCATATTTTATTTGAATCTTTCGGTATAAATATCATAAAAAGGAGTATTTTTTTTCTCATTATTTACTTCACTACTGGTCTGTTTTTACTTTGTCCATCTTTCGATTTTTTTTTCAGTCGATTAAGTTGAAACGAAGTGGCTACAGAAAGATACATTGATTTGTATTTGTTTGATTTTGATTTGGTGTTGTTATGGTTACTAAAGAGATAAAGAGGTCATTTCATAAAAGCAGATTTTTCTGCAAAATTATCAGGAACATATAGGTCCCTAAAAATTATATACTGCTGCGTGGCGCAGTGGTTAAAACGACTGCTCTAGAGTCCCGGAGTAAGTTGATTGATCCCTACAATGCGGGTTGGAATCTCACTGCAGGATATGGAGACCGGTCCTTCAGATGAGACCGTATAAACTGAGGTCCCGTGTGACAGTAGATGGTTGCACGGAAAGAGGTTTTTCACCATTCAATGGTCCTCACCGCTCAATGGTCCTAAGTATCGAGTAAAGGTCAATATTATAGTTCCCCATTGATCGGCAAGTGGTGGCAACGGCGTCTCCATATGAATGAAAGATTTTCAAGAAGGACTTTGAACAACAATCATACAATTACACTCGTAAGACCTCTCATATAGTTTGCCTAGATATCAGAGCTGCCTTCAAGATCGTAGTGGCTACACAGAACTACGGTGTTGAGATACTGGCTTTGCCGCCACCTCTAGGGATAACAGCGCTCAATAGATTTTCCGTAATTATATGCCAAAATGTATAAACAAAAAAAATGCAATCATAAACCGCCTCCCATATGAATATACAAACAAAACAAATATACTCAAAAAGTAAAATAGGAGGTAAAATTTGTAATAAAGATTTAAATATAAAACAAACTTATCATTGACGTGTGTGTGTAAAATTTGTAAGTAGATTTGAATATAAAACAAACTTGTCATTGACGTGTGTGTGTATTTGAATTTTGTACGAACTTGTAATTTGAACGAGAAAAAAAAATGGTCTTGATCATACAACGAATTATCTCTTTGATTATCTATCGTGTTTGAACAATTGAAGTTCTTTGCAACATCATGCAAGAGATAAAGCTTATGGACACTTTCAGCATATCAAAAGTGCAACACCTTTAGGAGTTCAAAATGCCTACGTTTTCTGAATCGCTTCCGGATTTCTATAACCTATCTTTGTCGTTGGTATCTGGAAGTCGCAATGGCGCACTGCTATCAGGAATTTATGTCATGAAAACGATAGAAGATAAATTCACAGCTGCCATCAAGTTTTCATTGTCAAACAATCGGAGCTGGAAGGAACAGATCATGAACCCTGTACATAATTTGTTGTGTGTTTGTTTGTTTGTTGGAATTTCATTTAAAGGTATTTGTATAGTATTACTTCGTTTTTCAAATAATTGTACATTTAATCTACAAAAAGAGGACTTGATGAGAGTTTTTTTTTTTTCAAATACTTGTGCATTTAAGCTACAAAAACGAGAACTTGATGAGAGTGTAGCTCTACTGGTTTGTACAAAATTGTATTGAAATACCAAACGAAAACTGTAGGGCGAATCGAAATAAAAATTTCCGAAAACCATTCCTAGAAATCTGAAAAATAGATTATAACAGAATTACGAGTAGCTATTTCAGTAAAGATCAATTTCCATGGGTCAAATTTTTATGGTTAAAAAATGATACAATATGATTTCGTATTTGAAAACAGATATTGTAGTCTGAACAAACATTTTGTGGTGAAATCATGGGTCTTTACATCCAAGAAAGATACCCACCCCTAAAAAAGCGACTTCATGGTAAATAAACAGATCAAAAATGATTTTATAATTATTTGGTAATAAGAAGTCCTTGTTTTTATGATACAGGATAAAATATGTGATGAATTACCCGTAATTTTAACATCCTTATTTTTGACATTAATTAACAACATATGATTTACATTTCAGTTGCACTATCACAAGGTGAAGATGGTGGACATCCGTTTGACCCTAACAAACTTATGAAACAGTTTATGCAAATGAGAACGGATCAAAACGCGTTCGGTTCCTATAACCCAATAGACGTTAAAGAGGCAGCAAAAGCTTATTTCCAGAAAACTCCCCCACTTGGGGGTATGCCTCAGGCTGGAAATGTCCAAGCTGAATTGAATGGGTTCGATCCGAATGGTCAGAGCATGTTTGCTGGCCACCAATCAGAAATATGGAAGTTTTCTTCCAATTACAACCCAAATAACAATTTACACAAGTATGTGTCAAAGACGACAGATGTAGGATCGCTTGGAAGCATCCATACACCAAAAGAGGAGCTCAGCCAGGGTATGTCCAGTCAATCTCATTCGAACAACAACTTTGGTGCCAACACGTTGATCAGTAATTTGGTACCTGGCACTGATAAACATAATTATGGACTTGGGGTGGGCACACCTTCCACCTTCGCTCTACCTTTGAGCTCAATTCATATACCTAAACCATCCGCAAATCAAATGTCAGGAACCACTGACACAGATCAAGGCTTCAATCCTAATCACTTAAACCACGAGCTTTTTCAAAACTTAGGATACAATCCCGAGACTGTTTTATCTGAAACAATTCTCCCACATCATAATCCGATGGCATCGATTGGTCAAGGATTTGCACACCCCTCACAAAATCTAGAAATAGGGAACACGGACACAACACATAATGGCGGGACAATGACTCAAGATGGAGGAACAGCTGGTAAACAAACTGATGGAACCACCACGAATGGAATAAAAGACGGTACTGCTTTAGCTGGCGCACAAAATGGGGGCCCTATTTCTCAGAATGGGGGAACACTGCATAGTGGAGCATCAGCACAAAATACCGGAGCAAATATCGGAACTGGACCCTTGATTCAAAATGGAGGAAGTGTGAACCAAAATATTGGTTCAAAATTACAGAATGGCGGAGTACAGGCCGGAATAAGCGCGAATCAAAACGGTGGAACAGAAACGCAAAATGGGGGATCTGTAATTCAGAATGGTGGAGTAGAAACAAATAATGGGGGAACAACCGCTCAGAATATTGGAACACAGAACGGAGGTACTGCGAACCAGAACGGCGGAAATTCGGGATCACAGAATGGAGAAACGGTAGATCAAAACGGAGGAAAACCCACAGGCAGTGCTACACAATCTTCAAATCAGCCTAAATACCATATTGTTTTGAACAGTAACGGGGAACATGTACTTGTGCAATCAACAGACCAACCAGGCAAATACATCATCATCAAAACCATATCCAATGAAAAACTTGCTAACTATTTGATAGCAAAGTTGTCGTCATCCGTTAGAAGCGGATCTCCGGTTCCTAGTTCTCTGTCTGCGCTGATGTCTGTTCAGAAAACGCCAAACATTCCCTCTAATTCTAATGAAGAATCCGCTCACTCAGCAAAAGACGGATTGCTCCTGAACGAGAACTCTGACGGCTACCATGCTGTGCCAATAGAACAAATAGGAACATATGGTACACAGCCAATCCGGGCGTCTGGAATCGGGGGACTGGGTGGTGAGCACGTTGGACAAAGGCAAACAGATTTCGGAATAGGATCGCTAGGAAAGGGGTCCCAATCAAGAGGTCCTCAGAAAGGACCAGTTAACAGTGCTAGTTCATTCAGTATGGATCAAGTGAACACAAACCCGTATGTTCATGTAACTGGAATAGGAACACTTGGCTCCAGCGCACAGTTACAATTGCCTGGATTGGAGTCTGGAGCAACAGCGCATGCCACAGGGATAGGAAGTCTCGGCCATGAACAAGAGAATGGCGGAGAAAACTCGCAACTTAAAAGATATATAAGGTCATGGTGGTGAAATCTGAAGTCAATGACCGATAGTTCTGAGTAAAATTTACAGATGATATTCTTTGAACATTAACTTAAATCTTTCCCGAAAATTAAGTGTGTATGCATTTCTTTTGAGAAATACCTTGCAGTTTATATAAATTAAGTATCATTAATAAAATGTTAAAGAAAAATTGTAAAACCAGAATTGAAAAATCTACGTTTTCGAAGATACCCGTTACCTGCATACTCAGTAATTTACTACTTGAAAACATGTACATGTTTAGCTTTTATTTTTGTAATCAGGAAAAGCGTTTGGAATAAATTTCATGCTTGTGCCATTATCTGCAATAATCTGGGTCAAAAAGAGAAATTATACAATGATGCTTAACAATACTGATATCAAAGATAACCCATTATATATCGAAGTCTTACATTCATTTGGGACTTCATTACAAAGAATGTCATGAGAGGATCATTTGTGGAGTACTAGTACTTCAACTAGCAAAATCCTTTATTCAAAAAAAAACAAACAAACACAGTAATAATAAGTTACCCAGCTGCAGTTGTATGTTTATTTAATTACAACAAATTTAATACAATTTTTATGAAAAGGCATATAAAATTAAGCCTTCTAATGATTTAAGTAATTAAAAAGAACATGAACTTCTCTGCAATCCACATCAAATTCGCATCATTTTGTTGTTCATCTTACATGTATTTCCAAAAGGATGCATTTTAAAATCAAAAAGTGTTTTAATCACTACAGGTTTCAATAAATAGATCAAAATTCAAAATACAAAAAGAATCAGCTGTGATTTATTCGGTCTCGTTTTCTCCATATAATCAGTCACTCATCAAACAAGTCTTTGAGGACTTTAGCTTGGTGTTTCTTGTGAGGCCTCCAGTTGTGCTGTGTTGTGCTGCACCTGTTAGTAAATCATTATAAAAAACATCACTTGTAAACTATGAAAAAATCAATACCATGGCAATTGTTAACAAGACTGATTCTCTTACCCAGTCTTTTTGTGCATTGTGTGGTCAGCCTTTTGTTCCCCACTCTTTCGTCTGCAGCAAGACCATACCAGTTTAGGGTTCACTACAAAGAAAGGAATGTTTTAAAAGTTTGTGTTTAATTAAAGCATAGACAGATACAGAAGCCCATTTAGAAAGATATTCTAGCTCACACCCACTTACTTATATATCCTGGATGATGCCTACATTCTCTGTCGTTCGTGTGTATGTCAACAAAAGGAGCCAAACAATTCATGCAGTGACCACCGGTCAAGATGGAGGATTTCTTGACCTTTCTGTAAAAAATTGAAAAGACAACTTGCATAAAAATAAGACTCCCGTATAACATAAGTCAAAGAATTCAGGCTTGGATGATTTTTACACAATTTTATATGGATATTTACTTTTTAACTGTCTTCTTCTTGTATTCTGATTCTGAACATTCCTTAACTTGAAGAGCTGTACAACAACAAAAAAATAAGTCTTTATTCAACTTATTAAAAAAGTGCTAACACAAAAAAGTTTCTTAACATGGAATTATACATTTCATACTATGTATACTGCATTCTAGCTGCAGATCTGTAGCTCTCCGAAAAAAATATATTGATAGACCGGAAAAGTGAAAAAACTGTATATTTATACAAAAAAGATTATTTCTTTCAAATTCTTGCCTCAATGGCAAAAAAGGAAAGATTTCAAAAAATTCCTTTATCCTCAATCAAGTACTCTCGAAGTTGACATCTGAACAAAGCGTATTGGACCGAATTATGAAACCAAAATGGCAGTATAAATCCAGTGTAACAACAATTATGTGGAATGTTTGGTTGTGGAAACAAAAAAATTAGGAACACACGGTTAGTAATAAGATTACAGTTTTAAAAACATGGAGAAATAAATCGAGAACCGAGCGCACTTTTTTTGTGCGCAAGAAATATACAGGAGCTCTCCGGTCTATCAATATTTACAGATCTGCAGCTAACTGCATTCCAGTGTAATTAGGCACAAAAAATCTATAAAAAGTTACCAATGTCTGTAATGGAGCTGAAATTTGGATCTTGGTAATCCCATTTCCTATACATGTACGTACGCGTACGGCGAGCAGTCTGTAAAATTAAAAAAAAAAACATGACGTCAGACGCTTCTCACTGAGATTAAGTTCGAGGCTGTTTTAAGTTTAGAAATCCTTGACTTGCAAAGATGAGGAGACAGTTTATAAGAATGCAAACAACTTTAAAAAAAATATATAATAATCTACTGACAAATATTCAAATGTCATTTTGTAATAATATGGAAAATACCCTAGTTATTCCTAACCTTTTTGGCGTCCCATTTTGTGTCTTGTTTTGTCTGGATTGTTTCTGCTATCTGAACTAGATTATACTTCACAGCCTCAAATTGACTCGGGTCTTTCATGTATAACTTCACTGCAGTCTTTTTCTGGTTAGAGTTAATGAACTCGGTATTTTCTTTATCACAAAACCACACGAATAATTTAACTTTGTCATAATCTTGTTTCACACATTTATATTGGGCGGATTCAGTAAATTTCTTTACATTTCTCGCAAACATTGGAAGATAGATCTCCCTCACAAGATCTTTTCTACTTAATCTTTTATTCTTCATACAAACAAACTGATCTCTGGTCATCCGCTGTTTTTGAACATCGGAGGTAGCTGGCAGTGGTTTGGGTCGCGAGTTAATGGCATCATACGTCAGTTCATCAAAAGAGCTGTTAACCAGTGCGTTGTAGACAATGTACAACAATTTAGTTTTCCCATACTGTTCCAGAGAAATGGTCTCTTTGATAATACCACGCAGATAATTTCTAAGAGAAAGGGTCATTTTTGATAATTCTTTCTCTTCGAGGTGCTCCATCACGTGACGCAAGTCATCCATCGTCATCAACTGAGAAATGTTAGTTCCTGCAACAAATAGAAACATACAACTACATTCCTATATTATATACTAATCGAGAGAAGATGGAAAATCTGACTTTATAATCTTTGGCTAACTTTATTTTGGCAAATTTTCATATAGATGCTTGTTTGATAAGTAATAAACCATTTTTATTTTAAAAATTTTCTAGATTTTAAAAAAATTTTTTAGTTTAGAGATCATACTGTTTTTCCTGCATGAACAGACAGCAGATGCCAGTCTGCCAAGGTATGTTTTCGGAATAACTCGATTTTCCTTCAGATTTCTCGTCAAAGCATGGAATTGAACCCGATCCCCATGAAACAGGCATTCCTCGTAGTTTCTGTCGGCCATATCTAAAAATGTTTAGATAAGTTATATTATAAAATTATCTAAATTAACGGCACTGCTATCATTGCATTGCACCCTTAAAACAAAGGTGCTGGGAAAGTTAATTAACAATTAGAGTTGTATTACACAAATGAACAATTTAAAAAAAGACATTGTTTTCCAAATATAAAACTATGACTCTGCAAGTTCATGTATAATTTAGCTCTTCTTGAATGAGACGAAATTAAAACCCTGTTACTTAAGCATTGAATTATCATTTTTTGAAAGATGCAGTCTCATAACTGTAATGGTGTGTGCAAACAAATTGAGTAACGCGCGCGATATGATGAAAATTTGTTTGCACACACCATTGCAGTTATGAGATTGCATCTTTCAAAAAACGATAATTCAATGCTTACCTTTACATTTCATTTTCCGCAATTTTGATTTTTCTATTCAAAATTCCTGCCTTATCCTTCATGTAAGTTGTATTTGATAAAATAGCCTTTGGAACAGCTTAGTCCGGAAACAAAAATAGTGCACAATGATAACAGATAACAACAATCAAAGTTTTATTTATTTTTTCAATCTAAAATGATAAACTATATTTTTACAACAGAAATACAAATAAATCGTATAACTGACATAATTTTTTCGCTTTGTTCATACAGTAATGGCGTAGTCCCTGTACATTCATACGCCAGACAGACTTTGGTGATTAGGTCTTGTGTGTTATGTGTATATATCACTTGTGATTTAAATTTATAATGCTTTTCATTAGGGTCAAAGTAAACGTAAATATAGGATAATAATGCATTCTCCTTTCAAGAACCACCAAATCTTGTCAATTATTCATCTATATCCATCATACCGAACTAAACAGTCGATCGATTGATTGATTGATTGTCTGTTGTTTAACGTCCCTCTCGAGAATTTTTCACTCATATGGAGAAGCCAGGACACAGTCGAGGAATGGACTATATTATTCTCTGACATAATTTAAGTTTTGTGCTTGACATGAGCTACTAAAACTAATACTAGCATAATTATAGATACAAGAACTGTTAACATGGTTTAAACATAAAAAATATTTTTAAAAGACTTTTTAAAAAATAAAATGGATTATATTTTGTAAAAGTAAATAATTTCAACGCAAGAGACTTATGAAACGGAAATGGTTGTTGTTTAGTTTCGTATAAACGTTTGACCTACGTTTTTATATAAATTCTTAAACACTAAAAGATAATAATTCTCAGATCATACAAGTAGTATGAAACTGCCTGTGTACTGGGTCTGCACTGAGGTAATACATGCTGTACTACAGGAACTCAGGATACCTCTCTGGTGACGGAGTTGATAAACCTTGGCTAGTTCCTTCTCTTGCATACGGTCGTATGACCTGAATAATGCAGACGGTTGTAGGGGATAAAGAGTTAAGTGTTTCACAGCACACCAAAGCACTTAAGACCAGAATAAGGCAGTCACTTGGTTGTAGAGAGAGGTGGCATACCACAATTAGAGGTGGGGGAAGTGCCAAGATGCAGCAGAACTAGTGGAGTGGCAGGACTAGTGAAATTCAATGCGGGAGACACCCGTTGACCACAGTTAGTGGTTGTCCAATCAAGAAGAAACCCATTGTATTTATAATAGATTTTATTTGGTCAACAAAAACCTGAGTTAACAGGTTAACGAACCTAAGTGTAACGCCTGGTAATACAAGCCATATATCACAACACATCAAGCTCGGCCGCGTTGCATGTTACACTTATGTATATATTGGGCTTTCTTTAAAGTTACCGACTTAATTATATGTTGCTAAAGCATTTCTTACGAAACCTAAAAATCTTATTTTGTCTGGAAATTATTGAAACTTCGAGCATTGTCGAATTTCGAATTAAGTGTTCGGGATAAAGATTACTATGTGAAAATACAAAGATTTGTCAATCAAACACACAATAATTATATAATGAAAATATTAACTACAAATCTGTGTCCAAGTACACTGTACCTTTAATTCATACATGCAGTAAAGTCATACAGATATTTATTATACTGTAGATATTTATGTAAGAAACAATATTTCACGATCACGTACCTTGAATGCAACTGTTCACCCTGTCCAAAGAGAATAAACAGCTGATTTTACATAAAGCTATTAATAAATATTAACATTACTTATTCTGGAGCGTTCTAAACATGACGAAACACATTGAAATTAATTAAACCGAAAGTAAAATGAAAATAGACTGGCAAATCAATGTTTACATATTTGAACACGCGTCGCCAGTCTACAACCTGAAGGCACATACTTTTTATTTTTCGGCATTTTGTCTTTCCGCAATTTTTTTAGTTAACATAGAAAATAACACCATATAAATGTATTTTCTATTTTGATAAAAAAAATTGTGAGAAGACGTATTACTAGGGTTCATTAAAATCAGATCCTCGATGATCCTTTATAACGATATGTCAAATTTGTTTCTCAAAAACTGGTTTCAGTTTTGAACCAGTTTTGTAAACTGTTCATTTGTTCCACAAACTGGTTTTAAACTAGTTTAAATACAAAACCGGTTTTCTAGTTGTTTCTGTTGTAACTGAAACCAGTTTGTTAAACCAACAAACCACCTCCGATGGTGGTTTACAAAAGGGCGATAAGTATTCCAGTATGGCGATGATGCAGAAAGATGGTGACTATTATTATAAGTTTTTTTCGAGAACAAACAACTTTTGACTTTAATTCCACTTTCTGATGTTTTATTTAAGGCTTCAGAGAAAAGATAAATACTGCCATGCATGTTTGTTCATAAAATGATAATGAATATAGAAAATGTTAAACTTTCCTTTTAAAAAATAAGTTTTGAATCCTTTGGACAAGCTTTAGATGCACTATTGAATATAAATGCTGCATTCTATGTAAGATATTATAAAGAAGGAACAAATAAAGTATAATTTCTTGGAATCTTTTATTAAGAAAAAAGATTTTATATTATTTTTTTCTGTATATTTTACCCGTGAAATAATGCATTTTAAATTCTTTGTAAATTATGGTAATCAACCCTAAAAATTATGTTATCCTATACTATTGCACTTTCATATTGGAAACGTGATATTTTGTAAATTCACATAAAAAAGTCATAAAATTTTTGCAATTCTATCTCTTTTTTTCACCAGCAGTATTATTTCCACGTTACATTTCCAATTAATATTAATGTAATCAAGTATGTAGCTTTTAGACGCCATCTTGTTTAAACTGTTCATTTCTTTTACCGTGGTAAACCGGATGGAAACTTATATCCAGTTTGAAAACTAGTTTTAAACCTTAAACCAAAATCTTAACTGAATAAATTCGCCCGACCCCCGACATATTATTGAAAAATAAAAATGCCAACTGTGTGCTTTCATGTCTGATTTTAATCAGATTGATTTCCTTTTAAAATTTACACATAAATTTTTAAAGTAAAAATTTTCACTTAAAATAGATCAAACAAATTATACTAATGAAATCATACATGTAAATATTTCCAAATACCTTAATTTTACTATTTGGACTTAATGAAATATGTTGAACATTCATGTCACTGTATATTGTAATGAAGTGAGAGAAAACTTCTTAATCATATGTGAATAGTAATCATAACCTTGAAATAAACCCTAAAACCGCAGGTTCAACCTTTTCCAACAATTTAGACCTATCCTAATTTCTAAATTTTTTTTTTCTATGAAACATTTCCAGATTGTCTGGAAATTAAAATATAACTTTAAATTTAGAAATTAAGGCTAAACCAAGTAAAACAAAGAAAAAGTTATGATCAATAAGAACACATCGATATCTATTACGTGTGCGTATATATGCTTTCTGTGGAATTTTTCCTTCAATATCAGACATTCAATTTTATTCTAAATAAGATGCTTGATCATTTCCAACTGCGTGTTTAAATATGTATTTATTTCAAAGTTTGTACCAGTGATCAGAGTTATCTCTTTGATCATCTTCCTGTATTAGTGTTAAATTTAAATGACTTAATAAAAAAAATTGTCAAGCTTATACCAACCTTTGTACATATATTCAAGTTGTGTGGCCATCTTTTGGACAGGGGGTCACCAGAAGCTCATGTTAACTTAATATTCTACATCAATTAAAAAAAACATGATGATTTCATTTTTTTTTATCATATTATGACAATAAACATTTTTAAAAAATGAACATACAACATAATCTGCTGATCAACAGCGTATGTAAAATTGACAGAAGTTTCAATAGTAGAATGAATATATCGCATGCTGTCCTAATCTTTACACTTGCACCAATTAAGCCGCATGTAACGTTAGACCCATCCAAAGCAAGCTTATTGCCTTTGTCAATGGCAATGTCCGTTGCAACGACAGGGAGACTTTGCCAGCTTTCGCGCATGCTCTCTGGTAAAGCATCCACATTGTCTAAATTTTTCACTTCTCTTCATTGAAGATGGAAGTTCAAGTTTGCTTTTTAATGCAAGGTCTTTCTCAGGCTTCCTTTTCCACAGTTTATAAAAAGACACCATATTTTGTCCATTCACTCCATCAGCCATATTAACATTAGAAAGAGAGTCCTGACACGAGCACGAATAGACTGCATCCTTTGAACTGATAGAGGAAAACGAACAGCTTCGTCTTGGCACCGTTCCAACATCTGAGGACTGTCTGGAGGAAAACTCGAGTTCACTTGCAGAGTGAGGTCTCAGACGGGCACCGTCCGGAGGCTTTGTAGTTCCGGTAGTTGTAGGAATCTTGATGGCATCAGAGCTTCTGCTTCTATGCTTTAGATTGTGTCGTGTTCGTCTGATGACTTTCTCTTCTTCACATGGGTCGATGACAATTTGGGGAATAGCTGCCCCGTCATTATTAAGCTCAGTTGTAGTTTTTCCAATCATAGTTCTGAATTTTTCTTCGTTAAATCTTTAATAGTAAAGATGAGCGGAGTTCGGTCCTTTTATACAAGTAATCTATGTGGATTTTAAATATTGACGTCATTAAAAGAACATTACAATATCAGATTATTACATCAGATATATACTATTTTCTGTATTTATATATTTCATGAGATACTTCCTCTGATTTTGATCTAAGGTGATGTAAGGATTGATTGGGTTGTGTTATACTTAGCCCTGGAAGCCTTCTGTCCTATGTCTTTGATCTAACCAGGACGAACTCCATGCCCAACAGTACTAAAGGTTTTTATGGATAATCCTATCTATATCATCTCTTTGTTTTGTCTATTTAAAGAATCCACTTCGGGAAAAAACAAAACAATACTGCATTCTGTTATGTAGAACAAACCCTGCTGTTCCATATTTTCAACCGAAATGTAAGAGATCATACAATTTCTAGAATAAGCCAATAGCCTTTGTATTTTAATTATGTGCAGCATAAATTGGCCATATCATACAATTTTCATTTTATATATATGTACAATTTATCACAGTTGTTTTTTTCACTTCTCTGCTAATTTCTACATATAAAAAAGCCTATATTTCTTTAATGTCCTTTTTCTGTTTACGAATTTTTCCCTCGTAATGAGGCACCACAATTTTTTAAATGGAAACTGCAAATTTTTATTTATAAAAAGGAGAATCCACTCACTTGTGATGAAAATTTTGAACAGTGAGGGAACATCTTCTTGACACTGTCTGGAGGAAAACTCGAGTTCACTGCAGGGATCTCATAAGCGGGTTCTTTTTTTGTTTATAAAATTTTGATGGTTTCATTGCCTCGTAAATGCATTATTTTTAAAATTCGTTGATGATTCAGGACATTTATCTACAACTCATGCAAGAAGATGCATTCAAACACACAATGGTTACCCAATAAAATTTTGAATCATTTGAGATTTCATGGAAGAAAAATCGAATAAAGAAATGATAGCACTGCGTACTGGTGCCTTGTCAACAAACCTATCAACAACCTGTAACAAATAGTCCGGGTTCTGTACCCGGCCACATTTCCAGATGACCGAGTTTGTCGTCTCTGCCAAAATTTTGCATTTTTAGACATGTTCAGAGTCCCATTATTTTACCAATATTCGCTGCAATGAAAAAAAAAATTACAATGTTTCCAAAAGTTCAAGAAAACATTTAAATATATTTGGGAAACCAGCTATATAACATATTTACCATGATAATGATGCAATGAAAAACAACAGCTTCATTCATTAAATAAAAAAGCAGCTAAAGGTTAACATACACTTGTATTTTAAAGCAAATAATAAAAAGAAATTCTTGAAATATATTTTTTAATAATTTATTGTTTTTTTTTATTTTAAATTACAATTTTTTTTTCTCTTATTGTGAGCAAAAAAATTTCAAAAAAAGGTCAACAGAAAATAGATCTTGTAAACTGCCCGTTATACAATTCCACCTAAGGTACAAAGTAGTTTTCTCATGTATTGCAGTAGAATTTTGATAACGGTTTAGTAAATCTAAAATTTAAAAGTAAAATATGATTAACAAATACATGTTATAATTTAGCCCCATTTGGTGACAAAATTCTAGTACATATGTTACCCAATAAAAAATGTGAAAATGTCATTTATTTTCTAAATTACTACATTTTGCTTTTAAGGTATTCACTGTAACAATAAAGTATTTCTGAGGATTTTTTTAAACTAGTTAAAATACAATAAGATTATGTGAAAAACCAAATTCAAAGAATGATATCATGTAAGGGACGGTCATTCAACCAAAATATCTCTCTGATTAAGAAATTTTTGGATTTCTCAAAATTCTGCGGTAAATGGCAAAATTATATTCATAGTTTATAAAGTAAAAGTTCTTGATTATTTTACCAAGTCTTATTGTTTTTCAATATCTTATAAAAACAGCTTATGCCCGAGTTTGAAATTGCAACAAAAATGACAATAATCAAAATTTTGCAGAAATTTGGTGGCAATTTTATATTAAATATCATTTCAAAATGGCGAAACTGTTAATGATTTCTTTTCTTTTTACATTTTTGCATTTAAAACTTTTTTTACTGAAAAGAAAAGAATGACTTGTAGGCACGTTCCTTAGCACTTTGTTATTTCTTGGCTCGTGTGATTATTTCTACATATAAAAAAGCCTTATTTCTTGAAATAGGGGTTGCTATGGAAACTATAAGAAAAGTATATATAGAAAGTTGCAACTTTTTTTGTTTCTTGAAATTTATAGGTGATGATTGATATATCTTAATTCCGACTCAATAACGTTAATGAATGACGAATAAAATGTTCGTTAAA